TCATGAATCCAACATACACCATGTATATGCCTATGAGGACTCAAAAAACGGAAGCCTATTTGATATAAAAGAAGCAGCCCACTGACGAGATCTGCTCGGCTCAGACCTCAGAGCAGCTGCACGCTAGACCGCAACTGTCAACATTACTATCTACCATTAAAGCCTCAACCATGTAGGATTGCTATTCAATCTGCCAAAACATCATGTAGAAAGCGGCAAATGACTTTCGTTTTGTTATGGTAAATCCGTTCTTTGAAGGTCGCCCTCATTAGTGGGTTCACTGAAATTATACTCCCGTCGACGACCACTAAAATCATCTACGATGAACAACTCGCAACTCGGAAGTTCTTTACAGTATGCCTACCAGTGAAGCTGGTGTTCAGTGAGGTTTACTATCACATTTGTACATCGTTAGACTATCGACTGAAGTTCGATAGTGACTAGTCACTGCTTCTATAAATGTTTACCAGCTAACGGCAGTGAAGCTGATCGATCTTAGAGAGATCATCTTTCACCGCCAATCTTCTGCGCTGAACCTCTATTCACAGTGGCACCAATCACCTGCAATGAAAAAAGTGCTTCAGTATGGAAACAAAGTAGTTCGTGTATCACCCACAAAAATACGAAATCCCTGGTTTGGATGTTCAAGGTTCTGCCACAACAACCAAGACCAACGCAGAGATTCGATTGAATAAGAGAAAAGGTAAAGGAATAAAAAGGGTGGAATCTTTGGCATTGATCCTTTCTGTTTTAGAGAAATAAGCACTACTACTCAACTCGAATTGGAATGTTCAAACTGGCAACTGATAACTTTGTTTTTGAAAGGTGAGCACTATGGAGAACTGAAATAAACATTTCGATACCTGAACCTATTTAAGGCTCCCGAGTAGGTACAATCTATTATAGTTCAGTGCGTCATTTAGCTTTCATCTGGAAAGCCTACAGAAGTGCAACTATTCGCATAAACGCTTATAACGACTCTTGCAACGAAACGTCTGCAACGTAAGTTCAAGTTCAGGCTTCCGTTTGGAGCCCAGTTCAAAGCGATATTTTAAGGTTAAAGAATGTTCCTGATCTCTTGTCCGATGTTTCTGGTGCTGGCCAGTTTTGCATCCACATTTTACAGTGCATCTGCAGCATATTTCAAGGTGACGATATGTCAAAGAATCCGACATTCTTGGGCATAAACAAGAGACTTTTGAGAAAGAACACGATAAATGGTGTGTTCCCTTATCGAAGGGAGATGTATGGGGTCAGATGTTTTGGGAGGGAAAGAAACGGCAGCTGCCATTGCCACTTTGCATCATGTGTTAACCCCAGGATCGCCACACGTTGGGCATGAATGTACAATGTGATTGGTAAGGTTGAGCTGCATTAGCCGGCCAAATCTGGAACTATATGCTTAGACTGATAGGTCACTCCATCCGCAGTAGACGCTGTGTACGGCTGGTTGGTCTGTGTGCTCCCAGGATGATAGTCGTGATAACGGAACCCGACCGGTAACGCAATCGTGTCAAACGAATAGCCATTCCATATCAGTCTTAGGCTGGTCTTATCCCAGATGTTTCTCTCACCTCTCTCAAGCACAGTCACTTACATATGGAGCCATCATTCATGGGATTACTTCAGCGTGTGTCGGCTTCATTGAAGGTGATTGGGAAACAAATTAAGAAGTAATTTAGCAATAGTACGATTCTTCTATCGAGCATGAGGAAAGGGGACTGCAGAACGTACTGCTGAAAATCTTTTCAGTATTGTTCCCTGAAAATTGTCAAAGCCTCGTCATTACTGATAAAACAAGTAACTGTTTTCGAGCCATCAGTGCACAGTTTGCCATTTTTTAGGTCACATTTAACACTGCCAAAGATTCATGCGCTCAAGCTGGCGAGACCAACCAGGGCACTCTTCGACTGAAAAGAATCTGGGCGGTATTCTATAACAAAGAAACGAAAATTGTAAAATCCATCAGAGCTTCCGTCGTTAAACACGATGCGATTGTTGGTGCTTCTATATTTACATACAACGGGACAATGACCAACATGCGTATCGGGATCTACATTTTGATTGTCCGTTTTTCGAAAATCCGCGAAAATGAGAATCCGGAAACGAATATATTTCTGACGTCGAAAACTTCGTGGTCTAAAGATAAACTCTCGAATGCCGGTGTTGGCTTGGATTTCTCAGAAATGTATTTCGAATCACCCTTCGCGTTGAAAATTGACATCGAAGAATTGACAAAAGCCGGAGAGGTCGATCGAGGGTAAGACGCCATTTTTACAGAAAAAATCATTTTGTGTAGAAAAAAAGTTTTTTTAGAAGTTATACACTTAATCAGTGTTGGGATGATAAGAAATGGATTGCAAATGAGGGTCTTTACCAGCTAAACGTCGTCAACGGGAAATGGTATCCTGTATATTATAACCCTCGAAATGCAGATTTTTACTATGAATACGATTAATTGTTGGATAAAGTTGTTGTTTTTTTGGTTGGGTGTTCGATTTGCTCGATGGTGGCCTAGCTGCAAAGTGGCACATAAGCCTCGATATAAAACCCCGAGAGCAATAGCCCTTGAAAGAAATCGAGAGAAGCTGGTGTCATTATGACAGTACAAAGTCATAATGACACCAACTCCTCTCGTTGAGTAAGGTTCACATTATGACCCTAATCAAGGAGTGCCTTAGCTGTAATATCTTTAAGTGGAGCGGGCAGTACTTCTCTCAAAACCGAGGACTTGCTATAAGTCAGCGGCTAGCACCGGTCTTATTGTTAGCTATCTGTTTTATGAGCAGGGTAGAAAGGTCAGTTACAGCTCGCATGCCCATTACAGGGTGACCTACTTGAAGTGTGAAATAGAAAACTAGCATCAAAATTGTATAGATCTAACCAAATAGGAAACATTTACTCCTATACAACTACCACAAAAATCTAAACAATATCACGTCTCGCATGCAGAATGACCATATTTCGCTTTAATGCAAGCATCCATCCTCTTGGAAGTTTTCAAGAACGCGCGCAATCACTTTCATCCCACGCTTCTACAAGAGAGCTTTTTTCAGAGGGTCCAAAGATCCGTTTTCGAAAGCACAGGCTTTTTGCTCCAGAATCGTTAATAAAGCAAAGTCCAAAGGATTGAGATGGGGAATTAGAAGGTCAAACCTGCTTCGCCCCAAAAACCCGGAAGCGTGGTTTCACGACATTGCAGCATCTTCTTTGCGCTGTAGGCTGGTGCCCAACCCTACGAAAGGTTCAGATGACGTTCATCGCGTTCCTTTCCGCCCAAGAGATCACCGCATCCTCCAGCCCAGAAGCCATAAGTTGATTTTTTATTGCCCGTCACACTTCATGTGGATCACCCTTTATGTACTGTCGTTACATCCATGACTGCTGCGTAATTACATCAACGCAGCAAGAGATGGATGAGCTGTTCAACATCCTCAACCGACAGTCGCAGTAGATTAAGTTCACGAGAGAGGTTCCGCACGAAGGCTTTCTTCCTTTTCCCAACACGCAGATAAACATCTCAAGTGGAAGGTACAATGTGAAATGTTATCGGGAAGGCAGCTCTAAGAACATCTTACTCCCCTCAAAGTCTGCTCACCCCGAGGCTGTGAAACGTGCAGTAGTTCGAAACATGTACAGAACAGCTACAGGAGTGTGTGCAGGTGAAGTAGAACGGGAGGAGTCACGTAAGCTAGCATCTGGGATTGCAAGACTGAATGGCTACGGCACGAAGCACAGAAAGTCAGGCTCAAAAGGGAACCCGCTGAGAAATCATGAGAATATGGTGCACCTCCGACTTCCGTTTATATCAGACACAGTCAGCGCAGAGGTACGGCAGGGCATTGCACGAGAGGATTTGATGTTGTCTTGATCAATGTACCAGCAAACAATATCAAGCAGTATCAAGCGTCTTTTGATCCGCAACAGACTCTATGATCGTGCATGCTCGACAGATACATCACTGCGTTGTTTGTCCGCTCGGAAGGAGTGGAGATTGCACACAGCGAGGGACGGTATATCAACTTCAGTGTTCAGCCTGTGACGAAATATATATTGGTGTGACGGGAAGGATGCTGGGCATACGCGGTAAAGAACATCTGGCAGGTAAAAGGCGAGGAAACCTACTAACGCCACTTGGCAAGCATCGATTGAAAGAGAATCAAGGCGAAGATTTCGAAAACAAATGCAAAATCCTAGCCTACGAGAAAGAGGTCGGTGCTAGAGAGATATTGGAAGCGTCGCATATCCGCGAGCGGAACTTAAGATGAACAACCGAAATGAGTGCATTGCCATAACGAGTGAACTTCTGCCATTCATTCCCTTTTGTGGGCTTTGAGATCACCGCGCGATTCTTACCTCACAACCGTCAATAGTGTCTCATTGTTCCCTTGTTGTTCACGAAATGGAGTGGGACGACAACGCTGGTGGAACCGCAGAAGGTTGGTTTCTTGGCAGGGATGTTTCGGTGTTTGAGTTTCTGGGAGTAGTTGGAACTGGCCTACTGCGTTTGGGCCCTTGGTCAGGTAAGCCACAGACCAAGAGCTCGGAACTACTTTCAGGTCCTAAGAGACGGCGAGTTAGTCGGAACGTCGGCCTAGTAAACGGTTTCATCATGAAAAACCTGCACGGCAAAGCATTCTGGAATACTATGTGACATGCCCAGGTTTCAGGAAGACCAAACTTGGAAGTTGCTACAGTACAAAGTTCTTTCGCGGAATCACCTGAAAGTGGCAGAAGTTGTTGCTTGAGCGCATTATTAAGGCCGGCTGGAAAGGTGTATCTGAAAAGTACCTATGACGGTATTGTTGCATTTTTTAATCCATTCCTACTCCGTGGGTGACTATGGTAGTGAACATACAAAGGTTCAACCCAGATTTTCACTCCGCCCGTTTGTCTATATGGTCGTATTTCTGTCTATCCATGTTGGGTTGCCTCCAAAGCAGGTGACGATCGTCCGATATTTATCGAATCAGGACTTCACTGGAAAGATCACGTAACATATAGAAATTACAGTTGAGGATATTAAGTATAAGGTCTTTGGGCATCTGACCAATCCCGTCGGAGGATTGCGCCCCACATCGACTTCTATTCAGGATTGTATCGGGTGCGTATATGGCCAATAGAATGACTTGCAGTGGCCAGCCGATATACAGGTCAGTGATTCTATCCTGCCAGGCGAATCCGGTATCGATGAGTCTTCCTCAGAGGGATGAAGGAGTTGGTTGGCCTAGGCCGACATCGATTCGCGATTCTAACCTGTGACCATGCGTGTATGATGTGAACGAAACATTTCAAATTCCAATCTCATGTTGATAACTGAAGTCTGCACTTCTGGGAGCGTCCTTTTTCCCGAAATAGAAACAGGTGCTTTTCTTCAAGTACCCTCCTCCAACACTTCCCCTCCAACTCTCTTCCCAACACCATTGAACACCACAAGTGCTTCCGTTCCACTCACCCATGAAGAATGATGTAATCACCAACTCCAGGTCCTGCTTGTTCTAATAATACACATTGTAGCAGATGATCGAATGATACCTTTGGTATTCGAATTGACGACCATGAGTCGATCTTCTGAACTCTCATCGTTCTCACCAGTTGCATCGATGGTGCCGGACGAGTTCTCGAATACGGCCCAATACGGGATACGGTCCCGAAGGTCCCTCCCTACCTCTTCTGGTTCGCAATGGTGACCGACTCATAGTCGCCTTCTTTCCCGGTGACTTGACTGGAGACTTGGTCAATTGTGTTGCCGTATCCGGCACCGTGATTGCTATACATTGACTGCCAAGTCATCGGGACCAGTTACCTTTCCAGACGTCCTCTTATTCAGAGCTGTTTCCATTTCCTTCACGATGATCTCTCGTACTTGATCGGTGCACTGGCCGAGCGCCAGACAAAGGTGGATGGGCGAACTCTACTGTAAAACATTCTCAGCGCACTTCTACCAATGCGTTACGCTTAGTGCGCGGTCTATGGCAAGGTGGCCGTGTTTGTCTGATCGTTCTCGTCATTGGTGCCGAACAACTACTCCACGTCCTTGGTCCGGTCTGGCATAGACATGCACTCATTTTGATTGAACCCATCCTTGTGTGAAGCATTGACTTGAGTTAGCGATAGGAAGCTGTCTCTACCGCCCAACGTAGCCTTCATCCCTCCGTAGTCGCAGTCGAGAAAAACACAGACTTGATTATCGGCCGGCCACTACGGGTCATTGTATAGGTCCCCCACATACTCAAATTTGCCGCTACTATTTTGAATGAAGTCGATTGCCCTGCTCAATCCGAAATTACTTGATCCACGCTTTAAGACATTCCTCCTTTCGTTGAAGGTAGTCTTATCTTTCATTTTCGGAGTAGTTCAAGAAGTATCCATGAAGATGAAAGCTGATCATCCAATTTCCTAACTGCTTTATTTTCCAGACATCCATGCGGCAACGATGATCGGAACCGTCTTTGATGAGTTTAAACACAGCGCTTGAAGAGTAGTTTCAGCTTGATGGGAGGAAGAACCCATTAGCTGTGGTAGTTTTATAAAAGTATTGTAGAATCTACAAGAAAATCTGGAAATATTATCACATCAGGCATTATTTTGTGTGTGCAAATGCTTAGCATTGAGGTGTGTTTCTCCTTTGTGACTATATGTTACGTCTGGGGCCCTCAAGTGGATTTGCTGCCCTGCAGATGCTTAACCTACTGCTAAATGATCTGGCTCTTGATTTACAAACGTTTTGCGTCCCTTCGGCTTTCCCTCCTCGGTGCATTACCGACCACTATAGTGGTCAGATCATTTTGTGGTTTTCCTTCCTTTCTTCTTTCATTCTTTAAAAGTTCCTCCTCTCTTTTAGTTGTGCTACTGGCCGAAATGACCTTTGTTTCCTAATTCTGCCTTGTTGTGGACCATACTCGTATCAGTATTAGCTTCGTCTCGATGTTCTTGATGCACCCTTATGTGTTCAACAAATAAATGAATAATATTAATATATTTATTTGTAGAGTTTTTCAAATTGCTACCAATTCCGTTCTATAGGGGATTCTATTTGGTATCCTCCCATGTCGAATACGGCCTTTCCTACGTTGAGCAGGGACGGATTGAGCCGTATAAGACCATAATAGTCATTCAAGGCTTCTAACAAAAACCAATTCTCACGAGACACCCTGAAATTGGAGTTGAAAATCGATAGGTCATCAAGATCGCAGTTGTCTTACTTGGAACAAATGAAAGTTGCCCAGGCGATCTCGATATCGCTGTTTCTCAAACCTATAGAGTAAGAACGTGAGGACCTCGAAATCACCGCTGTCATCACCAAATGATTCTGAAAAAGGCAAGAAAAGGTAGTGACATTTTGTATGTTTCCGCCTCTCTAAATACCCTAAAATTCCATAGATAAGAGCGGTTTAATGTACCGGTGAAAAATGAATTGGAAAAAATTGAAATTGTATGCAGTCACCCTCTAACTTGATGGATGGATAAATTAAAGTTCGATGAAGAAGTTAAGAAGAAGCTCCGCCCCTCAACTCCAAACCCCGCCCACTTAATAAACAATTCATATAGAAAAATAGCGATTTTAACGGATTACTATTTTTCTCATGTTATTCGTTTATTAGGTGGGCGAGGTTTGGAGTTAAGGGGCGGAGCTTCTTCTAAACCTCTCCTCCAATTTTTATTTATCCATCCATCAAGTTATAGGGGTGACTGCATTCAATTTCAATTTTTTCCAATCCATTTTTCACCGGTACATTAAACCGCTCTTATCTATGGAATTTCAGGGTACACATTTTTGCTTGCAATCATGGAATAGTGCCCGGGACATGAGCAGAACTGTACCTGAATGATCGTGACAAGCCGCTCTAGAGAAGCAAAATCATGTTGAACATTTTTGCCTTTTTCAGACATAAGCTTGGAGATTACATTGTTCACTCGAGACATGGAAAACTCCAGATCCTGGCACGCCATCTGTAACATATATAGCATGGAAACGAATCGCCCTAGTGCAAGATATAATTGATCATTCATTTACTTTTACTTAAAATAGATTGGCAATGGTCATTATGCAGAAGCAAACAAATCTTTACCTAGGGTAATTTACGGCACTGAGGTAATTTCGGCGCAAATATCACAAAGCATTGCACACACCTGTAAAGATGGATGAGCATGTTCAGCGATGTAGTGCGTTAGTTTTGGATGACGCAGCTCATCTTCCAGTTTCTCCTGACGGAACAACCTCTTCAAGGCATTCGTAATCCTAAATGTAACAATTACTGTCGCAACTACTCTAAGATTCTACTGCCAAGCTTAGGTATTGTTATGTCTCGCCACTTGAGCAATGCACACTTCCGCGTGTACCATAGTGGTGTATAGAGCCATCTCACAGCTCGTGAGGAAACTTCGCCGATCACCCATGTGCTCTAGCGAATTCAAGCCATGTTCAACCTATCTCAAAATTCACCCGACCTCTCCAGGTGCTTCTTCAGAAAATATCAAATTTCGTGACAGACAAGCAGACAGATAGACAGACGGAGAGACGGACAGATATTCAGTCAGACAGACAGACACACAGCTAGATAGACTGACGCAAGCGCGTTATACATTAAAAGGGTTCTTCACGGAACGATTCAAATACTGAATGGCAGTTGCACGAACGCCAACCTCCTACATAGAGCATTTCCGTTTTAAAGCAGTATTCAATAGAATATAAGTTACAGGTACTCGAAAAAGGTACTCTCAAGATCAGAGCAAAGCATTTTTCTGCCGTCTCTGAAAAAAATGCGCAGTTCTGGGAACATGGAGGGTTACCTTGTGTGGGATAGTGAAGCCCATGATGACAGTGCAGCGATCGCAACACTTTCAACGATAGATTCTTCACGACTCTGAAAAAATAAAGAAAACGTGCAAATAAACCTGAACTGCACCTTATCTCTTTCTTTCCTCTATGTAGAGGAATATAAAACTCACATAAGAAACGATTAAATAGTAAAAGTAAAAAAACGCCACTCACAACTGAAACTTCACTAATAGCATAAATATGGTATTACGACACTAATATACCGATATAGAGCTCCCCCCCCCCCCCCCCCTATAAAAAAAGAGCAGTGGCACTCGATACTCAAAAGACACTTCTCACAATCTTCAATCTCAATTCAAGGTCGAAGCACCCTCCGAACAAATGAATTAATGATAAGCAGCTGATTGTGTAATCTACTCTGCGCTTAGAGAGTTGAAAAAAACCTTTAAAAAACTCAGTTTTCCAAAAAAACCTTGCACAACCTTGGATTTCGCATTGTAACCAATCTCATATCTATTAACTTTAAGCCAAAATTCAGACTACAAATCTGATCACATTGAAACAAAAAGCACCGACCAACGACAGCAAGGTGGTGACGTCACGGATATCCTTTTCGAAATGGAAAGCTGGATTTATTGCACGTAAGCCAGCCAAATCTACACATGTGAATACACTGCTCCGCAATACGTCACGAGTTAATCGCTGAAGCATTGGAAACACGAATTTTGATTGTATAATAATTGTATAATGTGAAAAGTCCAACTCAAAAAGGTTATGGTCTACAGTCGCAGTAAAATAATTTGAACCAAATAATGACACTGAGTTTTTTGACCAAAAAAGTGAGAAACGTATCACTTAGTTATGCGTAAGGTAGACGTTTGCGTATAAATGGACACACATAATGCTAAATAATCCTTTCTCCGGAACTTACGTGAAGTAGAGCATTCTCAATATCTAAAACTACAGGTAGCCCTTCATCAAGGAGTCCAGAAAGGTAGTAAGAGGCTGATTCGAGTGCGTAAACCTGAACAGTGAGTTCGCTCCCACAGATGGTCATTAAATGCAGTATCGAATAGAAGTTCAAACTCTGTACCTTGAGGGCGAATTCGGTGGTGCTCTGCTGAAGATTGGGATCATCCGACAATAAAGCATTCTCCTGAAAGGTGCGTATTCAAGGTTAAGGTTACCAAAAACAACAGCCAATCATAAATAAACCTGTCTTGGACTTGACGTTTTGTTACAGAATGCCGCTAAATCGTTAAGAAGGCGTTTGCTATATCCTACAGTAGCTGCAGCCAGAGGCAAACAATGACTGGAAACCAATTCGTCTCGTACCTGAATTGATTTGTCTCAGCGACTTTCTCTCTTCCTACTCAGAATTATCTAAAAAACACTATGAATTCTAGAAATCAAAAGGATCGGAGCTGGGAACACGAAAATCCATAAGTTAGATGTATTGAAAATGGCAACAAGAGGCATGGCTAAAAAAGTAGCGAATAGAAGCCTGAGGACAGAATAAACAGGGCTATCGACGAACCGTTTCAGAATTCCAGCAGTCAATACTTCACCTTCATCGCGTTACGTCACTTAACTTCTAGTGCGTAACATAGAGGACCCGATTATTGGCAAACTAGGCCTACTAACTAATGTAATAACCCACTAATGCTTTTTGAAGTAATTTAAAAATGGTGGATTTGCCCAGCAGCCGGACAAGAATTTCGTGGAAACGGGTTATAGCGCTGACTTACCTAGGCAGGAGAAATGCGCTCACTATTTAGGAGCGGTCTTGACGGTAAAAACTTCAATGAAATAAGTTGCTTATGAAGGATGAATCAAAGAAAGGTTCGCTATCCACTTCAAATTCCTTTGAATTCGAGTTCTACGCTGGAGCCTGATATCGTTATCGATAACGATCACTTGTTAGTAAAAGTTGGCGAAAAAGTACCACCAAATAGAAATCTGTGGGTACCTCGACTCCTTGCCCAAGTTTCCCAATAAGATGTTGCTCAGTCAGAGAAGCGGAAATCGATAGTGATCCGACTGCAAAAATACTATTCGAATGGTTCCACTATTAAATTTCGAGTTTCATATAGAACACACATTTCGTTATAGCACTTACTATCACAAGCCTTCAACCCAGCTGTATCATCACGCTTGAATTCCCACTGATCGGTGTCTTTGAGTTCAGATCGATCAATCAGATAACAGGAGTAGTATTTTCCATCCTGAAGTAGAAAATTATCATGGGAACAAAAGGAAGTGCAGAATACGACACACAAACCACTTAAAACAGGATTGCCATGACTTTAACAAATGGTGGAGTTATGTGGCTATAGTTCAAAACACTATCGAACTGCGCTAACCTTTAATTTGCTTTATACCCTTATCAAACTCTAGAGATCTATACCGAAACGAAGTCTCGAAATATGGAATTTCAGATAAAATAATGACCCTTCAAGATATCGATGACCCTTCACCTACTGCCGTGCAAAAACTTGCAACGCAGTCCAATTCCGAACGCTACTCATTACAATGTCGGAGATGGACAAAGATACGGAGGCAGCGTAATGGTGAAAAATAAAAATAAAAGATGAAAAAGGAAACCCAATTATGGAAGGTCAAAGATATTGCTCACATTGTCACGATGCGCCGAAGTAGCAAAGACCACTGCCAAGTTAGGATTGTGCATACCAACACACCGCGTGTTTTCCAATCTGATCATTGACTGGCGTTGCATTCCACCAATTACTTCTGCATCTTTGGGACTACTGGAATGAAATTCGAATAACCGAGAAGTATGAACAATAAAGAGGGCTCACACCATGAAAGCGAAAGATTTCAGCTGTACAATTGCTAATAGGCAGAGCTGAGGATTAACGTCAGCCAACTGATGCAAAAGCAATAATTAGTGAATAAGCGGAAAAACGCGCAGCGAAAGCGCTTCAACCTATTTTGCCTATAGCCTCTCGCTCACCGGCTGGCGCAAAGTATAATAGCCCAAGAGACGTGTAGACAAATGGGCATCGTCTTAGTAATAACGCAACGCTTCACAACGAAAAAAACACCCACGACGAGTTGCACACCCAAATGTTCAAACCTACCTTAAATCGTTTACTAGAGCTACAACAGGACGGCACTTCCCGCTGGCAATAAGAGGAAAATATTTTTGCTTCAATTCTTCTGATCCAAATAGTATTAAAGTATTTGTTAGAGCATTCATCACTACAACGTTTGCATAGATATTCCAGTCAACACTGAGCTCCTGAAATCAGTTGATTTGCAATCGTAGCAACGGTAAATAAGGTCTCAGAACGAAAGCTGATACAATATTTTACCTCGAATATCTTCACACGGTCTTTAAATCCCAACCCAAGACCACCGTACTCCGAGGGCGCTAGTGCCGCAAAGACAGCGCTGTCATTCAACGCCCCTATGACTGCATCCGATAGGGTTCCAAGCTTCTCTAACTCCTCGTGATCAACTGAAAAAGCCTGCTCGTTATAGAGGATATCGGAACAAGCGCACACAAATAATAAGGAACGATGAATATACTTTGGCAGACCTGTCAAGTTTAAAGACTTCCTCAATATCTCCGTGAAACCCTGAATTGCTTTCACATCATCAGTGTCTGTATATTCAGGGTATATCATGAAATCCTGTAAAACAAATGAACAAAAGCTAAGTGACTCAGGAACGGGACAGCAGACAATTCAAGTATGAAGTATTGCTTTGAAAGTAGTGCTTGAAGGTAGATGTGCAAAAGGAAAGGACTTTTGGCACCATAATGCAAATACCTTTTCAAACTTGTTCATCACAAGCCCTCTCGAAAGCGACAATTTCTCAATGGGAACGTCCGACGCAGCAACTTCTTTAATTTGGAGTTTATTCCCACTAGGAACAACAGCTTCTTTTTTGTTGCAAAGAGACGACACACATTTTGATAAGGACCTTCTTCTTATCCAATTCAGGAGAACCGGCCTCATCTGCAACAAGAAGAAGCATTAGACAAACCACTAAACATCATAAATCGGTTCATGAACCGTTCTTGATAGCTTGACTGGCATTCGAAAAACGAATTTACAGCAAGGGACTTATTCAAAAGAACTTCCAGAATAACAAAACGGTTTCTCCAAAAGCTCACTCACCAAGTTTGGGCTTACTTACTCATTTTTGAAGAAAGATGTGACAACTGACCTTGCTTTGAGAAATCCTAGCTAATGGTACGTTAACCGCGATGATGCCTTTAAGGCGAAGAATCTGTCGCGATGGACCGTCCGACTATGGATGATAAACTGAAAAGTATGACTGTATGCTGATTGAAATCAATTCGTAATGAAGACATACTACTCGATTATACTTCCCAATGCCGATTTTTCAAACTCGTTCTATAACACCAACACTTCATGACTCCAGCGACCACTTTACGTTGAACTGGGTTCGAAACCATTTTGGGTCAAAGCAAGCAAATCAACCTGTGACCACTCAGTTCCGTATTTCGGTTTTTGAAGAAATGCCATGACAAAGACATATCGCATCGCAATTTTCCATGACATGAGAGCGATGCGATGAATTTCGTTTCCAATATGACGTAAAACTACCATTTCCTACTGCTGTAGACGCCATGAAATGCGGAAGTCAGTAGGGTAAATGCCAACTTTCCTCTTTTGCCCTGCCCATATGAAGACAATGAAGCGAATATTTATCGCAAGGTAAGTTACTTTCCATAACTACGATGTGAAAAAGTGTTTCGATTTATGATTTCAAAGCTACTGGAACCCAACATTGAAAAGTGACAGAGAAATCTTTAAGGAGGCATTCGAAGTTCATTACTTAATGTTTTGGTTACATCAGTCAAAAAAAATTGTAGCACAGGTTTATCTTCTAGGCCAATGGCGTTTTCCAACATAAACAAGAACAAGCAAAAGTGTTATGACCAGTAGATCTACATAAAATCTATGTTGTGAACATCATATAGGCCTTTCATCCCAGTTTTTGGGTTATCTGTTATCAGTTCCTTAAGATCTTCATCCACTGCAACCAGAAGCTAAACAGAGTAGATAATTTCGACGAAATACACCATCGAAGCGCACTAGTTATAGGGCTGAAAGTAAAGCGAGCAGCCTTCCCCTTTTCTATTACCAATCGAGCGTGGATGCAGAAATCTTATCAATTCTGAAAGGGCAATATTAACTCTACTAAAATCCGATCATCACCTCCTACAGTACAGGATGGAGAGCGACATTAATGACAAAGTCCTACAGCACGTATGTTCTCGGTTTTGATAATATTCCGTCTAAATATGTACATTGTATATCCCTTCCTCTGATCATTAACACTGTTAAGTAACAAACTACTAATAGGCTGAATGATCAATTCCATCCCTAGCAAGCGTTTGTAGTACTTTTAAGAATACGCAGTCACTTAGTTGCCAACCTAATGGATCTTAATCGATTACAGTGACGACGACACAAACACTGCAAGGTCATAGTACATAGGTCAGGACACACGTACTATGAACGTGCCTAAAGACGTTAGTGCCTTGCTAAACAAAAAAATGGCCAAATTTGACTCATCATTCCCAACTGTAAGCAACTCAGCCCGTGAATGAGCCCAGCAGAAACCACTGATACCGCTATCTACGGTAGTTTATATTGATGACCCACTGTACTTCATCCACCATACTGGTTATATAAAGTGAAATAATATAAATTAAGTACAAAATCGCTTCAACCCAACTCTCTTCCGTCAAATTTGACCGTGTCCGTAATGTAACACGAGATTTTGCAGACATTTTTCTTGCGCGCGCGGCTTGGGGCTGTAGCAACGACGACGGTTCGTGGTCGCGCAACGGCATACGCTTTGTGCAAAACTGGAATCCCACCCACGACAGACATCTCTGTGGTCGATGTTGTCATTTCTGTCGTATCCGCCTTTTCAGTTTTCTCCTAGGCAGTTTGCGCTTCGTCTCATCTCTTGTGTTAGTTTGTTACCTAGTTGTAGCGTTCACAGCTTTTCCTCGATGTTTTCTTTTAGCAAATATTCCTTTTCTTCTATAGGGAACCATTGAAATGATGATCCTTATATCACACCCTTTTTCTGCGGGCGTACTTTTCATTTATGCAAACTGCTAAGCAATTTGTAGAAGCTGCAATAGTTTTGGTAAAATTTCATGAAACGAGTTCAGGATCAGCGATTACTTTTCGAACAGCTGCAGTACTTGTTATATTTTCATGAGTGATGTGAAGAACAGCTTTTTGTGCTATTAAGTATATTGTTCATTGAAATTTCCCATAAAATTAGGATGGTTGCTGCTTACTCATCTCATCTTTACAACCTTGCTAGAACTTGCGTTTGTCATGTTTTCTCATTATGACTAATACGCTTTTCGGCGAACTCTTGAATTTTCCACAATCATTAGGGAGGAATAAATGGTAGCGAATTTTATCTTGTTGTTCTGAATACCGATTGAATTTATATTTATGATTGTGATAATTTCTCAGATTTATCGACATCATTTTAGATTCCAGGGGCCTTACTGAACAGGGCAAATCATTTACAAAAGCGAGTGTCCATCCAGTCATGTTATGGTAGGTTCTTTTGTTCAGTTCATTCTGAAGCTGAAAAGGCTATCATTTCACTTTACTAATAATAATACTAATTAAGTAGTCTTTTGATCAAGCTAACTGTAGTAGTAGCCGTCACTTGAGACCATTGCAACTATTGTTACTATTGAAGAAAGTTCACCTTTGAATCTCAACTGCTCAACAGTGCGTTTTACAATACATTTCTTACTTTTTACATTATCATATCCGACGATGAGAGAATTCGTGGCTCTTTGGAAGCTTATTGGGTTAGTTTCGGAGTACATCCACATTTCAGTGAATTATAAGTCCAGTCAGAATCGATTTGACCCGGCTTTCATGCAACCAGATAGTTACTGTTGGTGCACAACATCATCATCCCTCTGATAGATCTCCAGATCCTCCTCTTAGAGTTTTGGGAACATGAAGGCAGACTGATCTCATTCTCTAGGTTTATTGAATTCTCGGCCGTTATGGCTACGTGGATTTTATTTTTGGCGAAGTATCTTCTTAACAGCTTTGCGCACATAGTTGTATACAAGCTATGAATCGAACGCTTCGGGGCGAGGTTTTGAGACGGTTAGATCAGAGTTTAATTGTGGGATAAGTTTCATTCTGCTTGCATATATTATGACTGAGTTAAATTCGAAAAGAAATTGAATCGCCATTGCTGTGTGATAAGCAGTACACCGCTTCTATTCATATTGAACACAATGCATATCTTGACTTTGGTATCGTTTCCGTTTTGATACGAATACGTTAAATCAATAATTTTAGTTCTTGGGCTGTATCTCTTTAACTGGCGTTCAGAACCGGAAATGAGGCACTTTCAGATCTTGTATACTAGATCCAGTTCGTAGCTTCATAGAAACAATGGATCAGTGGCGTCAATCGTTGTTGGCATTAAAACAGAAATCACCAGAGCATGTGAGTTACAGCAATTTNACGAATACGTTAAATCAATAATTTTAGTTCTTGGGCTGTATCTCTTTAACTGGCGTTCAGAACCGGAAATGAGGCACTTTCAGATCTTGTATAGTTCGTAGCTTCATAGAAACAATGGATCAGTGGCGTCAATCGTTGTTGGCATTAAAACAGAAATCACCAGAGCATGTGAGTTACAGCAATTTCTCTTTCGAAGATTTTGTTATTTTGCTGTGTTTTCAATTTTTCTCAAATAGTTCATTTTCCATCATTTATGCAGTCCATATCTTAACTGTTCAAGTTTTCCATTCTCTGACTTTCACTTTCAAAAAAGAATTATCTTGAACGATTCCCTCAAAACACTTGAGGGAACTAGTAAATGAAATAACAATTGGTTTTCGACGTGCAAAAGCGGTAAGACTGACGAGTACATTCTAATAATTCAGTTTGTGCTGCTTACTGAGGTGTTCATTTACTAGTCAGGAAATTAGTTTGGATATATAATAGTAAGTGGAATGTGTAAATGGCTTCACAGGTGTGAAGAAAAGTGGAAAGGGAAAAATTGTTGTCATAAGCGTGTAAAAACTGTGGTGATTATCAGTAGTACAGATACTAGAATTTAGATCACCTTTCCTCTCTATTATTAGGGGTGTTTATTAAGAAGATGAGAGCTTAATCCATGTGAGTTTCATTTTACAAAATATTTACATAATACACCTTATGAAGATCTAGCTCCAAGCTTAATATGTCCTTCTTCAGTGCCATAATTGAGCAGTCTTTTCCGATGTAATGAACTTTAGATAGGGCTTCATGAGAAAGTCCATTTGTTTTGAGCATAGATTGTTGGATGGTCTACTTTCACTTGAATGGAGGCGGGTAGAGAGCCTCAGCATCAACGCTATGTCGTGTTTGGTTGATGAGGTTGTATTTGACTTTCCTTTGACAGTCTTACTTTGTAACCATAGTGACAATTTCCCCACGAATTCAAGGAGTTTTAGAGGGGTTTCAGCTACTTTTTGCGTCTGTTTCGGTACATTCCTTCACTGCAAAAGCGAGTGGGAGTTTAAAGATGGCAGCGTGATTCTTTTGGCATAGTCAGATTTCATGGTAACTCGCACAGTTGGTTTGTTCGAAAGTACCTTGGAATTATTGAATTCTTGGACGGGGATGCGAGCTCATGCAAGTAAATTACAGCGCGAGCACTGGGACGTACAAGCTATTGATAGAACCAAACTAACCATGAGATCAAAGGGTCGCCTAGCGTTCGGCGCTGCAAGGGCTAGCCAAAGTGTCAAATTCTGTAGCTTTGCGCGCGTAATATCGGCGCAGGCGCTTGTTATTGTATAGTTCCGTGATTGACAGTGTGGCGAATATGCAGAATATTATCCATGTGCCTGCGTTTCATGTCGGCCTTGCGAACCATCATTTAATGCTATTCATTCACTGCAGTCGATTAGTCTTCCATTGCCGGAACTTGAAAAAATCTTACAATTCAATCTCTCCTTTTTCATTTCCTTCCATAATATTTCATGATTTTATGTTCAGCTCCTATTTTTCTTTCACTCTATTCTTAAGACCCGTTCTTTCCTGTCTGATCCTCTTTCAGTACTTCAGAAATCTTTTTTTGTTGCTTTTGTTTTCTGCCTCGTTCAATTTTGCAATGCTTCTACCGTCACCTTTATATGTCCATCTTCTTTTCCCATTTGTCTGTGATTTCTGCTATTTTACTTGCTAAATTTTTCGTCCTTTCACCCTTTTCTCGTTTCGCCGTCTTACGTTTTCTTTTTTTCGGCTTACTCTTTAATGTGGTACTTATTGGATGTTTACTGCTCACCCCAGTTTTTATCGAATCTAGATGAAATCACATTTTCAATGCAATTACTCGGGGCTACCAGCATGGAACACATAACTTTCCCAGCGTTTTCGTTGCGCTTGTTCCGTTGTCACCCTCCATTGTACCTTTTCTGCAACATTCATACGCTGTATCGCTCTCCAATTCTTAACTTCATTTTGACAGCATCTACTTTTTTGTTGCTTGTTTCGATCTTTTGCAGTTTTTTTTNTTTTTTTTCTGTCAATTTGCTAACAATTATTCGTAATTCCATTGTTACTTCAACTCAGCCACTCCGAATTTCGATTCCCATTGTTCTCCATTGTTGTTGTTTTCCGCTATCTCCTGCTATTTCTGGCGTCTTTTGTCTTCACCATAGCAATGGGGAAGTTCTTCATGATTATGCCCGTCCAACTCTTTTTTGGGACTCCTCGTGGTGACTATCATGTGGTTCAATGTTGATTATTTCTTATTGGATGATTGTGTCCTAATACCGCAACCTCCATACAGTGGCAGACTCTGCTCTTTCCTAGTTAGCTGAGCAAAGACTTTCCACGACCGCCTCGTTTTCATCTCAATAAAGTCGCCACCCCGATCGCACGACACTCTCAGCATCTCCAATTTATCGTAGAGACCCTAACATTATGATCTCTTTCTGTTAGGGACCATAGTGTCAATGAGTATCACGAACTTCACCGTTGACCGATATATTTTGATTTTAGGGGTTCTGGAGCGTTTTAAGCTTAGGAGCGAAAATGACGTAGTGGACCTTTTTAACACATGCCTTATTAATCCGGTTCTTCTCTGCCTAGTTCATGCTCAGGCTGAATCGCTTTTAATTTATCTGACTTATTGCAAATTTCGGTTTTTCTCCAAGGCGGCATTTGCCATAATCACTTTTCAAAGCAGGAAAACTTGTTGTTCTTTTCGTTTGGTAGGAGCTAGGTCTCTAGCCCAATGACATTTTCTTTGTGGGTTTCTTGGCGTTCCGCGATTTATTCTGAAGCTCTTTCCTTATCATGGTGCGAATGGTCTTCAGCACTTTACCAGACATAACGTCTATTTCCATTGTCCGTCTGAGCAGGCTGCCGCATTGTAACTATCCTACATGCTCTCAACTAGAGGTACCAGGTGGTCAGAGCGTTCCTTATTCGGGGGTTCTCCAGACTAGGCCCACGGGCAGCCGTACGCCTTTTTCAAGTCGGCGTAAGTTCGATAGTTGGGCCTAATCTTTTTTCTTACTCCTTAATCATTCTTATTGAAACACGTCGTCTGCTCGGTATGATACCGAGTTTTTCTGAGATCAGGACAAGTTCGTTAAGTTTTATAGCTATTCGCCTTGTTTCGCATTTGCCCACTCAACCTGATTGTGGAATACTCGCGTCGCCTTCATTACAAGTAAAACATCGCGTCTCCATTTTCCTTGAAATAGAGGACAAGTACTATTTCACACTTCTGATACTTTCCTTTCAGTATGGGCTCCAGTGAACGATTCTGCCCGAGCCAATGCCTGATATTTTATCATTTTATATATTTTTTGACTTTTATCAGATCCTATCAGCTATGTTCATTCTCTAGCCTTGATGCAATCCGAACATTATTCAGGCCGGTGCAGTAGATGTCATGTTAGAAGGAACATCTGGCTCACATCAATGGTACCAGGTGATTAATTTATTCATTTCTTTGCTTTTATGCGTGCTGACGACAACGAAGCGCTGTAAATACGTAATTAGAAGCGTTGTTATTGTCGTGACCGCAGAGTTCTGAGACGTGAGCTTACATTGACGGGTCGGTGTTGTGGGTTAGCGAAAGGTCGGCCACTAAAAGTACCGTTGCTTTTTTCAGATGAATCATCACCGCCCAACTTTCTGTAATTATTGTCGAGAAAAGCTTTCTGGTCTTACCTGGCATGGCTGGTCATGTGAAAGTAAGTTCGTCTCATTCATTGGGCGTATAGAATTTATGTGGACTCAAAGCACAACAGCAGAAACATAGCCAAAGTTGTGCTAGAGCATTCTATAATACCATTGTGATGGCGCTATCTGCCAAAGCTGCTTTGATTTTATTTGTTACCATGCTTTCACAGTTCTTTGCTTTCTATTGCTATTTTCTGCGGTCGTTTCATTTTTTCAACTGCTATTACAATTTTTCGTTTCCTTTTATTTCGCTCATGTAGAGAGCATGGATGTCAGCTCTAAAAAATTGACTTTTGCGTTTTTCTGTGGTCTCTGAAATTTTTAGTATGAATTTTATTCAGCATCCATTTTCAGCATGTAAAATGAAAGCGCACAAGAAGTGCATGAACAGTATTGTTGAAAAATGTAAATGGACGATAGAATGTACGGTACCAAGCCATCTGCAATACATAAGTCCGGAAGTAAGATCATTTTATTGGAATAATATGCCTGAGAAAAAAATCCAATTTTTAGAATTCAATAGTAGCTCACCAGTGGGTTGAAGGTAATCTTGCCATGTCTTCGAAATGCGTAGTATGTGAAAAAGTTTGTGGATCGGTTTTGAAATTAGCGGTGAGTATTTCACTACCATTTACATTAGCAGTTATGTGAAAGTTCAATTTTTGGATTGGGCTGGATTGAGGTTTTATCTTTACGATGAGATTTTGAAGGATTGGCGATGTCTTTGGTGTGCCTGTTGTGTGCATTCTTCTTGCTTACCGCAGCTGGGTCGCAGATGCTCCCTGGGTGCAACTTCACTGTCCGTTATTCCTCCTCTCGCCGTTAAAGATGTGTCGCGAGATGGTGTTGCGATGATTCGGCCAGATGCTATAGGTATGTCAAGAGGTCTAATGGTTACTTCATTATCCCGTGTCGAAACATTTATGTTCATTAGACTGCGTTGGATTATTTTAATATGAGCTTTGTAATTCTCCTAATGCCGTACATGTTTAGGTGGAGAATGTGGTGGTGGATCTCCCTTACTTGTTCTAGTCAATTCAAAATCCGGCGATAATCAAGGTCAGCGAATGATTCGAAAGTTCAAGCGTTTGCTGAACCCGCTACAGGTGTTTGACATCATTTCAACAGGGCCTGATTTTGCGTAAGTTTGGAAACATCTGAAACTCGATCTTTTCTGACTTTATACTTTATCTGATTTTATCTGATTTAGCCTATCTTTTTTCGACGCTCTTGACTCCTTTCGAGTACTCGTTTGTGGAGGAGATGGAACAGTTGGTTGGGTTCTAGGAGCTTTCGACCGTCTAGGCCTCCACAATAAGGTTCATCGTTCATCGTATACTTACAATTACTATTAGTTATAGCTGTCGGACACTAAGGACAAAAAATTTATTTTCCTCTTCAGTGCCAACTTGCAATTCTTCCTCTTGGCACCGGGAATGATTTGGCTCGAGTATTGGGATGGGGACATGCGTTTTATGATGATACTCAACTGCCTCAACTCTTGAGAACGTTTGAACGAGCTCACACTCGTATGCTGGATCGGTGAGTTCAATATCATTCTATAAAAACTCATGCTTTTGGAGCCCGCTAGAGGTAAAGATGAATCCATTCGAGTTCGTAGTCTTTGAATAGCTAGAGGTTTTTGCATGAAAAGTCCCTTCAACGTGAAAATGATTGAGTCAAGACGGTTGCAAATCCTTCATAACGCAACAGTAGGGAATGAAATTCATTGCTTTTGTAGTTGGAGCGTATTGTCGATAGAGGGGCCGCAAGCGATTGCTGTATGGCAGTACGAGGAGACAATAACGAAGAAATTGTGCGCTGTAATGGACGCTGACGATCCTGGCGATGTTTTTCGAGCAGTGAAGTAAGTTTTCTGGTTGATTTTTTTGTTTGTTCCGTTTGCTTGTTTCGTTTGTTCTTCTTTTTTACTGGGGTGACGATATATCCCTTACTTTCGCTTTTGCTTGCTTTTATTTACTGTATCTTGAGATTCTTCTACATTCCATTTCAGGTCATTATGTGAAACAGTACGTGGTTTAATGGAACAAATCGCAACCACATTTACAAAAGTTGAACAGTGGGAGAGAGAGGCCGGTCGTCTTCCAAGTGATCCTATCACGGAAAAGTGAGCCCTTTGTTTACATTGCATATGTGTATGTGCCTATTAGCTATTCGATGCGGTCTCAGGTGTTCTACTCTTCTGCAAAAGCTGGATGTTTTGATGCAATCTTTGAGTTCTGAAGAGGAAAAAGTAGAAGAAAGTGGATTCGAACCCGAAGACGACGAACGTAAGTGCCGTAACCGTGCCGTAGATAATCGTCGTGTCAAATCCGAGTAACACCAGTGTATTTAAGATGCTGAAGGACAAGCTGATATAAAAAGAACGTAATATTGTTTTCGTAAGTTTGTTTCTTATCCCTTTTGCTGCAGGTACCGCCAGTGAAGAGCGGCAAAGGCGTGATTCATTAGTCGGTAGGGCGAATAGTCTGAAGAAAGCACTGAAGGACATCATGAACATTGCGGAACGTGGAATTGACCAGCACAATCGCGCAAGGTAGTTCATTTTAATCTCCCACGTTAGAAGCTTAATTGATATGGTAAGAAAACCAGATGTAGTTGCAGTTGCAATCAGCCTTTTCATGGAGTGAAAGCTCATGAAACGAAGAGTTAAAATTGTTATAAAAGCTAGTGCTACTTTTCATATCATCGGTTGAACAAGTACACTTTACAATAGGTGGTTCTGCTAAACTACGACGTAAATGGCTTGCAATTCGAGAAAGCTGTCTAAGCAAGCGTAGGTAGCGCAAATCATGTTGCAATTTTTGGTGAACCAAAAGTTAGCGCGTCTTCTTTCCTGTAGCTTGAACCTCTGATTTGAGTAAGTTCGACGCTTTTCATAACATGGTATCGCTTGCAGTGGTGCAGCAGCGAAGCGTGATCGATTCCGCAAGAAACGGAGCAAGACAACGCCATCTGTGCTAAAAGTTTCTTCTTCAAATCTCAGCTCGTCGTCGGCGTGTAGTCCTCCGGCTAGCCCATCTCCTCTCCCAACTCGACCACAGCTATGCGATTACCTCACTGTGAGAGATGCGGGCAGTCAACAGAGTCAAACGAGTGGAATTGGTTAGTTCACATGTATTCTCGCCTCTTTTCCAAATTGGTCGCTTGGTCGGGAGAAGAAACAGCTAGTGCCCAAGCTGTGTCCAACACGTAATTAAGGATTCTCTCCATCTCAATCATCAAATCCTGGAGTTTCAATGTTCGAAGTTGGAGAAACCGGTCAAGAAACATCATCTTCACTACCGAACGGATGCAGTGATGAAACAGAAAGTGACGTGAAAGATGGCAACGATCAAGCGTTTGGTATGAGGTAGGTTCATCGCTTTTTGTTTATTGCTTCTGCTGGATCACCTTCTTCCCCTCATCTAGGGATTCCTTCTTTTCAGCAGTAGTGGTAGAACTGAGAATCCTGGTGAAACATCAATATTGCGCGACATCCAACGACACAGAGCGATAGTTGTACAAGTGTTATTGAAATATCGACTTCTAGACCGAAACCTTAGAGCTAAACAAAATACCATTCGGAGAGAGTTAGTAATTGACAAATAGCAGTGATGGCTGAAGAGAATTCTATCCAAATTATCATCATGTTATCAGAATTATCGACGAATTGTGCAACCGCGTGCTAGTTGGCACGATATGGTGAAAAATTCAAGGGAAGGTTGACGCTGACGAACATGGTTTTGGATAGATTTATGTTTTCATTTACGGTTATGGTCAGAGAAAATTCGTCGTAGCTCACCTCGTTGTAGAAATCGTAGGGGAGACGTGGGTATTGTCCAGTTTTGGTGGAAGCCTAGTCTATAGAATCAAAGAATGAAGTCATTGATTGACGGGGCAAGCACGGTTTCGGTAGTGTACGGTGTAAAGGGCAGGGAGCGCGGAAAGAGTAAGAACGGGTTCATGTCCTCTCCGAATCTGAACTTTGGTCCATAACTCACCAACCTGGTGAGCCTTTCGCGTCGCGTAGTGTGGCGATATAACAGCAGTTAACAAATCATCAAGTCGAAACTGAGGCCATTATTTGTCGTTCTCAGGTCTTTTGTAGCGTTATATATTACTCTTCTCTTTTTATCTGTCACGATTTGGAAGTTCGGTGATGAAAGTTGTTTTGACTCTTTCATAGTATCTGTCAAAGATAACAGCGGCTAATCTCCATGTTCTGTGTTTGGGTTGCTTGATGAAGAAACGTCTTTCAGTATCGGAAGTGTGGTGCCACCTACACCTAGTGAAACAAGGGAACCATCAACGACCGGTGAAACAGATCGGCCTTGCGTTGGTGACGATAAGGATGAGCGTCACGATCGTTTGTTCAAGCCGCATTCAGACTGCGAGTTATATTATGGAGAAGTTTCAACAGATATGAAGCTAAGTCACTCAGACAGTAGTATTTACGGTTGGTAACTGTTCTGCTTACTCATTGGGGGAAGCCCATTAAACAGTTGTTTCGATATCAGTCATGAAAGTAGGTCGTAACACAGAAGGCTCTTCTGGCTCAAGGGTTCACGACGGATCGTACGCTCGTGCACGATTGAAAGACTCGAAGAAAATGGACTCGTTACCTGCCATAAAGAGGTATTTTTGCCTTGTTCGAGGGGGGAGCTTAATGTAGGTGTGGACTTTTGACATCGAGAAACTTAATTTTGTTTTGTTTCAGGGGAATATTGAACACAAGTCTGGCGGGTGGGTCTCTCATCGCAGAAGTGCTTCTTCTAAATGCCCGTGTACTCGGTTTGGGGGATATGAGCAGCTCAAAAGAGTGTCACACACCTTTGTAAGTTTTTGGATGAAATCAAGCAAAAATTTAGTGAATTGACACTGTTGTTTACCCCAGGTTCATTAACTAGCATCAGCTAAACTTCTTTCAAGCTTGGCGTTGTTTTCAGAAAAAAAGAGCAGAAATAATGTTAATCGCTTGATTGATTAACGCAGATCATGGAAGAGGACGTTTCATTATAGGTAAAATGTTTGTAGGGAGCAGTATCGTGAGCTGAAAGTTATGAACAATTATTTTGGTATTGGTCTCGATGCAAAGATTGCTCTGGAATTTCACAATAAACGCGAGGAATCCGAAAAAGTGAGTTCCCTCACTGCCAAGTCCAGAATCGATCATCAATCAAGTAACTGATTCACGAGTTTCCAGACTCGTAGTCGTTCCCGTCTTTTCATGTGGTACGGTATACTTGGAGGTAAAGAACTTATGCATAGAACGTATCGTAATTTGGATCAACGAATACGACTGGAATGCGACGGAGTACGCATTGAGTTACCCTCTTTACAAGGTTTGTGCTTTCGGCTCTGATTTTTCTTCTTGTTCAATGGTTTTTCTTTGTCCTTTCATGACTTTCATGAATTCGTATTTCTTTGCTATGGTTACTGATTGTATGTGGATCTGCGATATTATCATGTGAAAATAGGGAACGGTGCTGAGAGGCAGTTAGGTACCACAATTTTATGTTACCCATGTCCCAAGAGTGCGAGAGTTGGCATAGTGAGGAGCAAGAAAGGATTTCATCTAGTGAACTCTCTTTCCTGAGCTCATTCATTCAATATTCACATTGCAATCCTTATCATTATTCCCTCGCTTTGAACTTCGTGTATACCTGCATTGTCATGTCTTCAATCGCCGCTATCAGGATATTCGACATTACCTGAGGAAGCTACCAAGAGGTGTAGCCACAAATCGGTTCAGATGTTTTTTTTTATTAAGATTTGCGGTTGCGTATGACCAGGGTAGAGCCAGGGGAGGTGCGGTCCAGAAAAACACAGCAGCTTGGTCTCAGCACGATACAGAATGTGGGAAATAATGGATCGGGGAAGTAACGGGTGTATGAATGAACCGTAACTCATTGTCCATCTATGTACATTAGAAGGTTTTTCAGGAACACGGGCGATTCGTGCGATTCTGGGTGCGCGCAGCTAATTGCGCGGTGAAATTCGCGATGATTCATACAACTCTGGCGCCTTCATTGGGGCACAAACTTGAAGTAGAGTAGTTTAGGAGGGTCGGACAATCCTACTAGCCTACTTCCTTAAAATTTGAGGTTCAATGATAAACGCTGCAGTCGTCCAAATCGTACCGAATTTCGTCGCATAATTTGCCGCGCGTACCCAGAATCGCACGAATCGCCACACAACCAGTTCTTCAAAGTGGGACTTAATTACCGTAGATCTCGTCTTTGTAAGTATCTAAAGGGCTGATGAAATCTGTGGGAGATTAACCATACCAAGGCTGCATTACTTGAAATGTGCAGAAACCTTTTCAGAAGTGGGCGGAGCGTATCTAAATTGGGAGCGCTTCCTACAATAAGTCATAAATTGAATTTATGATGGCCATCAATCGAAAAATAATTGGAAGATTATGCCAGCTCGTAGGGAAAATGAGTTCATTGTTTTTGTGTAGAGGTGCTGGAAGGGTTCATAGATTTTAAGCTCTGTTGCTTTTGGCTGATATAGGTTGAAATTCTTGGGTGGAAGCTCAATAAGGATAGCGTTCAGAGTGGGTGGGAAGCGCGACGGGATGAGCGGAGTTCGTGCGACAAGCTTGTCTCTTAGACCACGACGATGGTGAGTATTACCTTCCAACCTATTTTCTTCCAACAAGCTTCCAAAAGGAGTGTACTTCCGAGAAACCAGCCGTATTGTGGTTCTGTGGCGATGTACCTATGTCTGAAGTTGGGAAAAATCAGTGAGCAGAATTGTGCTTGGCGATTTTTTTTGATTTACTTTCGTGATTTCTACCAAGAACGACTACTACGAGAATTGCCGGTTATTTGTGAGATCCAGTAACACACTGATTTGACGACAGGTTAACGGCATTGAATGAGCACAGATTTTATATTCAAGGTGGGGTTTGACAGAGCCCTAGGCTGTGTGTCGCCGTTGTTGGTCTGTTGTCATGCAATGTGCGATTGTGAAGTGTGATTTTGCGATTGGTCTTCTAAAAGCTATCATTGAATATTCAAACCAAGCTCAATCCATTTACTGGCTCGAATGCTTTTGTCGATTTGCAATCGATTCCACGTTGAACGAGCAAGTTTTCGAAATCGAATCCAAAAGGGGGACTGATCCCAGAAAAAGGACAATAGCTGAAACGCTTATATGCATTACTCATCGAAGGGACTTTGCTTGCAGGTATTGTGATCCTGAATATCCCATCTTACTCTGGAGGAGCCAATTTTTGGGGAAGTTCCAAAGACGAAATATTCTCCGCACAAAGTTTTGATGATCGTCTTTTGGAGGTGAGAAAAGCTTGTTTCGTTTCTTTTTATCCCTTAAATTATGAGTGCCCCAGGTTGTGGCCCTCTTCGGCGTTATACACGTTGCCACAAGCCGTGTTCCCAATGTTGTACGTTTGCAAAATCATCGCATTGCTCAGTGCCGTCACATTCGTATAGTAATTATGGGGAACGATCCGATCCCTGTGCAGGTTAGAGGACATATTTTCCTATTTACAAAGTTCTCATGATACAGTTTTTCGGCAATTAAAATAGCTTTATTCCATAATTAGAGAGAGATTTTGTATTTATGTCTCCCTTCACTTCAGGTTGATGGTGAGCCATGGCTTCAGCCACCAGGCATCATGCAGATTGTACATAAGAATCGCGCACAGCTCCTTGTTAGAAATCCTGTAAGTGTAAACATGCATTTTAGATACTCCATGTGATGCTTGAACATCATTTTTTGAACTTACCTTTTTCAAAACTGTAGGCGTTCGACGCGGCGCTGAAGAAGTGGGAAGAGCAAAAGGAGCGGACAACTGCACCTTCAACGCCTACTTCTGTATCTACATCTTTGCTGGCAGCTCCCAATGAAGACCTGTCATTTGTTCGTCGTGCTGCCGAGTTCGTACAATTGGTGGAGAGCGAAATAGCCCAATTGGGAGTGAGTAGCGGATTTCTCGAAGCTTTGGAAGCTGCAGCCGTTTCTGTGCGTGCTGCCGAAGAAGAGGTTAGTCCGAGGTATTCTATGTCGCTGAAAAGTCCTTCAAAACTCCTCTCTGAAGGACATCGGCAGTGGCTCTATTGAACGCTCCGATGCAAATGATTGTTCAAGTGGTTGAGTAACTGTCGAAACGCTTGCAAATGAACTTCTTCTCTTTCTCATTTTTGTCTTCCACAGTGTCCTTGCGGTGTGACCTGTAACAAAACTAATTAGAATGAGTTATTGAGCGTGAATAGTGGGTAAAACCAAGGGTAGCTTGTCAACTTTTCTGTAGGAAAGGTCTTACAAGCAAAATGATGTATCTTTTTTTACTAAACGCATTGCTCGAACTAAATACTGACCAAGGAATATAACGGATACCATAGAGAAGAGAGCATAGATCCATAGGACGACTAATATGCCATGAGTCACGCTAAAGGACGTCACGCTATCGCCGAATCCCTGAAATTTCTCGTTTTTTCGTTTTACAAGGTTCAGGCTTATGTTATTGAAGTATTTAGATTGGGAAGGAATAGCTATTAGGTTGTACCTCACATGCGGTGGTTGTTCCGTTACTTTTTTTGGCAAGATTTTTTAGTCCCTTTTTTTGGTGAAATCTTAAGTTCTCACTCTAATTAGTGGATTTCCATGCTGTTCTCTAGTATGACTTTTATGTAGGACGAGCCCCATCTTGCGTTTTTCCCAATTCAAAGGTGAGAATGTCACCAAGTCGAACTCTTTTGTTGGAATGTTCACATGCTGAATGTGAATTGCATAAGAAAATTGCGCCATCGCATTCCCATGGGGGCTCACTATAGAATTGAGGCACCTACCGAAAGCCCCTATTCTGGGCGATCTCCTTCGGATTGCAATTCACCTCGCTAACCATTAATCTTTCAAGGGCCCCTACCATTTGGCTTTCATTCGGATTTATTTGATGCGGGGTGCATTTGGGAATTTTGTTAAGATATTGCTGCAGTGCTCTTCGCTGCAATCGCAATGACATTGAATATCTCCTTTGAGCCGTTTTTAAACCTCGTGATTCTCCACCCTGACCTAAAGTCACGGCTCTCCGTAGTCCTGAATCTCGGGTAAAGAGTTAAATTTCTATGTCGACGGTGGAAATCTTCCCCCAATTTTTAGCTATTTCCTTTCAATGAGTTGATAAGATTCACCTACCTCCGCTATAAGGGCAGTGAAGATGACTAGTACAGGAACCAATATAACTTCTTGAAGGATTTTCCATATAACATAGACTGCAATTGCTGATGCTTTTTCCATTGGCCTCTTCCCACACAATAGAGCCGCAGCGGCTATGCAATTCGAAGTGGCTATTATGCAAAGCAGAATCGAGAGGTTCTGGCCGTGTCGAATTGTGTATAAAAGAGCGAGATTGAAGCCCATGGAAATAACGAATTCAGCAGATAGTAGGCATCTTGTCAAAAATAGCAAGGATGAAGGGCTAAAAAGTTGTATGAAAAGTAGGTGGACTAGTGAAAAGAGGTTCCTTACCTGAGCCTTTGAGTATGCCCTGAACTCGCATCGCTTTCACGTGTTGGAAGAAAGTGGAAACGTTGTGGGATCCCGTAATGGTAAGTGGATATGTCCATCGAGCGATGAGGTTTTCCTGTCGCTGAATCGTTGGGTTTTCAGATGAATATGAATGTAGCGGTGTTTCAAGTACAAGGAGCAAAATCGCAAGAGTCGATGGCACGATGTCTTATTGGTGCGGTAGGATCGAAAATGTGAATTCAGCGCTGATGCAGCACTCACTTTCAATCCGTTCTGGTGAAGTATTGGTTCCTACTCGTAGACGGGGCTCAATATTTATCCGCTTCCCTGCCTAGTCCTGGTCTATGATCAAGCCTTCATGGTGATAGGTGGCTGAATGAAACGCTCCACGCCGCTGGACGTAATCATAGAGGATGCGGAAAATTCACCTTTTGCAGGATGAGTTAGAGGCCGTGACTTCGAACTCCGTCCTCCTCAACCCTTCCTCTTCTTATATCAGAGGTGGGGAATAGGTTGCACGTCTATATTAAAATCAAAGGAAAAAAATCCAGAAACAGAATTGAATGACTATCGTTGCAAAAATGAATTTTAGTTGTCGGCACCATTGATGCGGTACTAAACGCATTAACCGTTAACCCTACTGCCATTATTTCTTAGTTACCCCTCTATTATTCTTATTTACCCCTAGAGACGACTCCCTGATAGATTACAGATAATGATCAAACTGGCATTGAACTCCCTGCCCTATTGGGAACCAATGAAATCTGAGTTTTCAGAATAACTAAATTCTGCGAGCGGACGGACTTTGTGAAAATGGGATAAGTGGATGAATAGATATATCAAATGAAAGTGCGGCTAATGGATATGAAGGCTTATATTTTCAAGGCAACCTCATTAAACCCAGTCAAAGCGCACCGCTATGTTGAGATCTGAAAGCGCCGTTCACTACGAGAAAGGAGCAATTCTAAAGCATTGAGCTTGTCAAGGAGGTGGCCGAGGCAATAATACTGTCAAGGGGTTCGTTAAAATGTGCTCGAGATGTGAATGGCAACTATGAAATGAAAAATTAAGGCACAGTGGGCTCATCCAATAAAATTTCTAGAACTACGAGTTCGGAGCATCCCCCTCTTTCTGGACGAGCTACGATTTAGGGAGCCAGGATATGAAAGCTATAGGTGTGTAAAGTCAGAATCAATCGAAGGATAGGAAAAGCAGTTCCTCGTATGGGCGCTTACAGGAAAGAAACTCTCACGGAAAGAAACTCCCATAGCAGCACATCAGCACAACGTAAATTTGAGAAGAAGTTGCTTTCATCAGATTGTATTCCTCCGGAAGAGCCAAATGCTTTAAAACCCCTTCCCAGTTTTGCGGAGAGCTCCTCTATCGAAAATCGACTTATACATCAGAGCATCATCCCATTTTGCTGTCATTAGCGGCTCATAGAAGCGGGCTCAGTTATAGGTTTTAGTTGGTGGAGTCGATGAAGAGATGAGGTTTGATTGCACGCTTGCCGAGAAGAGTCTCAAAATAGTCTTCAATGAAGCGATGTTTGGCCTACGACGGCTATGCATAATTTAATGCTGCTATATGTGCGGCCGGCAAGGGTTGAGAACAGCTTTATTAGACTGGATGGCGGTCGTCGATAAACAAAAACACAAACTTCTCAAAGAGAATCGAGGCAAGAAAACTGTGGACAAATTTTAAAGGCGAAGACAATGGAGATGCAGGACCTTGCAACAGAGGACTATTTTTACACTTAAGGGTAGCCCACGGGCCTCCTGCCAAAATCGTTAGTTTTTGTAGGGGCAATATGTGGCGTCGTCAGGCATTTTCTAATTTGCGGTTGTTGCATAACTGAAAGGCTAAGAAAACTGTAAAAACGTAAGAAGGAGCATGTACTGAGAAGATACAAAGAAGTGTTCTTAGAGAGAAAAGGTAAAGCTGCTGGGTCGGCCACAGATGAAGAAGGCGTAGACAAAGTGGGCGTCGCCCAAGTTAGATTAGTTTCCGTCATTGAGCGATAAAAAACCGAATTGCCTTTTCTTCGCACTTTACCTATTTCTCTTTATGTTTATGAGTTTGTACAACCATGTGAATATCAAATTGTGCCGCTTGTCTAGCACAGCTTCGTAGAAAGAAAGTATAGTTGGTCTTCTAGAACGATAATGGCGATGCAACCGCATTAGTCACTTTCTTTCTTTTCCTAAATGGCAACCACAGGGATTTTGCTATGACATTTCGAGTTTTACATCTTCCTCTCCAATTCTTCCTCCCATTTAATGTTTTTCTGGGGAGGGTCACGCACCCATGGAATGATGGGAAGGTTTTAAATTCTGTTGTTTCTAAACAGTGACTTGTGAGCGTTAGTCCATGTTGGAAACTTCATTGCAGCAAGAGTAGAGCTCATTAATCATGGGCATGTAAAGGTAACACGGAGCTATGCTCCAGTGTAGGAAATTGAAAATAGCGGTTGGAAATGTGGCTTTGCGTTTTACTAGCATTTTCAACAAATAAAGTTAACTTCCTATATCCAAGGTCGTATTTACAAAAAACTTATCTTCAACTCCGTCCTCACTCTCATGTATAATTCGAGTAAATTTTCATGAAAGTCACTTTCTGGAGAAGATATCCGATAATAATTGGAGGGACATATCGATAAGAAAGTTGAAGCAGAGGGCGTGTTGGACTGCCAAAATCAATTCATTTTGAGGAATTTTTTTCCATTGCATGCTTTACTGCGTTTGACGAATGACGTGAAGAAGTAGAATAATGCTAAATGTCACTCGCGAAAAGGCCATGTCGAATGATTTGCTTCCAAATTGGTAAACCCTACAATTCCCAACGAACACGAGCTCTTTCAAAGGCTCGGGAAAACGTCACTCCTCATTAAAGTCCAGAAGAGGTGAAAAGTTGTGTTTTTTAACCCTAAAAAACTGGTTTGATGAAATTCCCATTAGAACTCTACATTTCTCAGTAAATTCACTGCGGACCGATTGTCTTTGGCTACTGGTTTCCTATGAATTAGCCGTGTAAGTCATTCAAAGGAGTTTTTCTTGAGCGCTTTCTGTTGATATTAGATAACAAGCACGGAGAATAGCACGGGTATTCCCACCTTGATAGTGGGTAACACAAAGTGAAAAGAAATTTAGTTCCAAGTTTATTAAATGAAAAGTGTCGATTAGGTCACATGACTATCATTAGTATAGTCCAGAACTATTATTTCGAGCTCATAAGGGAAGTTAACAGTGTACTTCTTCGGGCAACGCAAATCCACTAAGTTTTCCAGCTTCTTGCACTTTTGCGAATAATTATGCCTTTCCTAATTGCCTTTTCAATAGTGGTTGATGTATCCCAATCTCTTCGCTAACCCATTTCCTTCTAGGCCAAAAAACTGGGTGCAAACCTTTTTTTTTGTCAGATTTCAAAAATTTTGGGAAGGTAGCAGAAGACGTGATTGGCTCAAATTCACGTAAGGTTTTTGATGTTAGATTTGAATTGGACACGGCTGACTAAACCTTTTACCTTGCTTTTAGCGCGACATCCATCGACACTCACGTAAAAATGAAATGGTTCCGTGCTAATTTCTATTCAATACTGTGTTTTTGTTACCAGTAGTAGAATTTCGGAGTTCTTAGAACTGAATGTAACGAGGATAATATAGACGCAACCAGAGAAGCAGGCCTTTTTCCTGTCTGTAAACTAAAACCAATTTTACGGACTGCCAACTCAAGCTTGCCATGCTCAGTCAGGGTGGTGGATGCAGTGTCTAGGAAGTATGTGTCGGTATCTGTGGGTGACAGTGAGTGACAAGTCAAGCGTGGCTGGCGTTTTGTCAGGGTAACTTGATTGTGAGAAGTGGATTCCATATTTGCCTATACATTCAGTGATTCCATAACAATGTTGTCATGCGATAGGGTTCTAAGTATATTGCTGAGAGAATGTAATTGGTAGCTTTCAATAGGATAATGAGATTGCCCTTTTTAGAAAACTGAGGTGATAGAGCCCAACAAGAACTTGACTAGGGAAGAAATATCCGTTAGTGAAAACTATAGAGTTTAGAAGAGATATATGGAAATTGGCAAGTTGCCACGAGCTTAGTAACGTATATATCTGCGGCAGAAAAATAGCAGATCCATCTCCCCAGACTGATACGTCAGGACAAATTATAATCTGTGAGGATGATACCGCCTAATTATATCTGCGTAAGGAACAACCGAGACGAGAAGCTTTTTTTACCGATGCGGTGTGCGGAATGGAATTGTGGAGCAGCCCACCTCAGTATAATTTTTATNTCTCCCCCCCCCCCCCCCCCCAACTATCTAGTGAGTTTTTTCTTGAAAAGTTCCACTGACGGTCACGGTGCGTAACTCCCCGCCAAGCGAAGGGAGAGCGATCCCCATATATGTACTAGAAGAGTTGGCACAATTCCAATGATGTTAGCTAACCAGCTGCTTATCAAAAAAAGAGTTGAAAATATTTATATGAAAAACTGACTGAAATATCATCTTCCGACAACTCATTAAGGGATAATTAGGCTTACACAGCAACGCATGAGGATTATTGACAGACGTTGTATAACTTATAATTTGTGTTCTTGTGACTGCGCTTATGGTAAATAGTGATCAGTCCCTTACCATATTCTGAACATATCCCTAAAACTCAGGTAAAAACAGGCAGGCTTCATCAACTTACTTTTTAATCCCTTGACCTTTGTATATTGTACGATGGTGTACATATTTTCGCAAATTTTTTCCATCTTTCATATACCATTTTCCTCAATTTCAATTGCTTGCCTTGGAAAATCTACAAGCCTATAGATCGTTTGAGAGACAAGGCAGACCAACTGACTTTTTAATGTCTTTTTCTTTCAATGGCTGAATGCCTGTATTATTTTCTCGTTGCTGCGAGACCGTTTTTTCCATAATTATAAGTCTCGTAGCCGGGTCGTAGCCCGTAGTACATTTGAGAAAGCTATATAGTCAGAGGGAAAGGGAATCGGAAAATTCACAGCTGATTTTTAAAGGATTAGTAGAATGTGGCCCAAAAGAGCACCTGGGAGAGAGACAAACTAGGTCAACATACTGTAATTGCTCGATCACTAAAACAAATGGTATCGAAACGTATGATTCGAAGTACACATATTGCAAACATCTGCTTTGCTGTAAGGATCAGCTTAAACCTCCTTGGACGTAATATTGGGATACCCTTGAATCGCCTTTCTTCTCCACTCTTTGTCATAACCATTGGGTAGGGCTCATATTGAAATGGCTAGTCAGCTTATCTAATTCTTTTTAAATTAAGCCGGACTACAACGGAGTCGATGGTCAAGCTCTTCGGGAAGAAGCTTTGGCTGCCATCGAATTGGTGGTAGACCGTCTCGAAGATCATTTCGGCTGGACAGAGCATACACGAGTACCGGCTGGCCATCCTCGCCTTGGACCCGCACCTTTATTCACTTTTGAAGTGCATGTGAGTTTTAGATTCAATTGTTTCCGGTGAACTCATTTAGGAGGACATGTTGCGGTCCCAATGGGAGCGCCTGCAATTAGTAACCACATCGTCCTATGCCCATTCGAAAACAGTCGTAAATAGGTTTTAATTGGTTTTGCGGTGTTCATGCAGCTTGGGCTATAAGCTATTGATGTACAACTTTTTTGCGGAGCAGCTTTCTGGAGCACTCGCTTTCTCGTTTTATTGGTGGTGACAGCTATGAGGCACCATGTTAAAACCAACGATGATGGGCAAAAGTTTCCAAAATCCGTCGTGAATTCGACTCGAGGGGTTCGGTAGGTGTCACCCAGCTGTTGATTCTTAACTGGTTTCCTTTTGTCCTCGCCGCCTCTGATCGGCAAACACAAACAGCCTCTGAGACCTCAGCATGGTATTAGAGTAGTGCTCACATCCTCAATACAAAGCCTTTTTGTGAGGTAGCAGACTATTCCATTTCTAGTTCTAAAAGTAGAATTCTGTCTGAAAGGGTGTGAAAGATGAAGAAAGATGTGGAATTGATTTGACTAGTCTCAGTAGTGCTTGTACTACAAAGTAGTTCTCAAAATTTCTTGATAGGGTGACGAACCGGAGCACTGGCGATATGTCTTGAGTAGCATTCGCCAAGAGATCAGTCGCGAAGAGGCAGCGCTGAAGGAACTTCGAACAGTAGAGATAGGACAACGGAAGAGGAGTCGTTTCACGGACTGGATCACTCGCAAATGGAGGCGACGGACAGGCGCACCGTCTACGCATGGTGAGTGTTTTCCTTATCTTAATCGGAATGACTTGTAAGAAGTGTGCAGAATCACTGAAATATAATTTTTCAGTGACGACATGGTCCGTAGATGACGTGTCTTTATGGCTAAATTCACTCGGACTTTCACATTATGCCAGTCAATTCAAAGCAAATGACATCCGTGGACACGAGCTGATTCATTTGGAGCGCACGGATATGAAAGACCTAGGAGTGCTGAAGATTGGGCATGCAAAAAGGCTACAGGTACGCATCGTTTGTTTACTTAAAATGTTTGGCATTGTTATCGATTTTTGCATTCCTTCTTTTCTAGCTATAAAGTTAAAACAAAGTACGCTTGTATAATAGTTTTCGAGGGCGCTACACACACCTATACAGCCATTGAACCGAAAAAAAGCTTATCGAATGAGCGTTGTCTACAAGTTGAAACGTGTTTTATCTAAATATTCAAAAATTAATTCTGAAAAAATGTTGAAAACGCTCTTTTAGATTCCTCAAATGGATCCGATTGGCTAACACATGTAGGTTTTCTAAAGTGATGCTCTCCCTTACACCACCATGACGGCCAAAACTCGCATATGTTTGTGTGGTACGAAGAATGTTTTCTAACGTCACTGAGTTGCGAACTCTCGATCTTACCTCCACCCAACTTGGCGTACGCCCCGTCTTCCCACCATTAAGGTTGATGGCCTCCAACCTTTTTCCCAGAATCTAGAACGTGTTGAAAAGAGTGTTATGGCTTTTTGTGAAGAGCACTCTTCAGGGCACCCTAGCCGGAGCTTCCCTTAGTATAGGCACGCTTTGGACACTTTTCTTGTTGCTTATTTCTTCAAATTTCTTCCTTTTTCTTTGGTGCCGCCCACTCCGTTTACCCCCCCCCCCCCCCCCCCCCCCCCCCCCCCCCCCCCCCCCCCCCCNCCCTCCCTTCAACCCCCTACCCCCTTTGAGCGACGCTATGTTCTCTGCTCTCTGTTTTCTGTTAGTCTTGCCCCTTGCTCCACCCATCCCAAACTTTACCCAACCCCGGCACGTTTCCATTTAACATTGCGTTTCCTTCCAGAACGACAGACGTTAATCTCGAGTGTTTACAGATGGTTAAAATTATGTTCCGAAGCTTGTAGTAGTCTCCACGTTCAAATACTTTCGAAACAGCACTTCATCTTTTCGTCCTTCCTTGTTGTGCTGTTGTCCTCCGACGATAGCCCATCGAGACACTACCGTTATTAGTTGAAATATGGGGAAAATTGGCGCGTTTCGCTTGTGTCGTTATCCTTGGTAAACCAGTCTCGACCAATTCTTTGTGCTGCATCATCTTCATTTTGCAACTTTACTTTGCATGATGTAACTAGGCGACTTCGTTCCCTTTTAAAATGGCAAAAAGCGAAAATGTTGTTATTCGCCGCCTGGAATTTCCATCGAAGAAGCATGAATTAGGTCCAAAATCCAATTCCAGAAAAGTTGAGCAGTTCACATTCGTAGACGAAAGAAATCCTGAAAATGGTCCGTGATAATTGGCTCACAAACTTAGGCTTTTTCAACTGAACAGCAGGTAATATAGATCTTGTTCGGTAATACCTCCATTTCACGGAGGCAGTTCAATGTCTCGTACAATAGACCACTTTCCTTCTTTTGTGGTCTCGCAAGAACCTAAAGTCAGTCGGTCCTGTGCTGCTCTGGCTGTTCTGCAGCGCTTTCACTGTTTCCAGCGATCCACGTACTTATTTTATGTTTAGCGTCACGAGGTTTTGGTAAATAAGTTTTCTCGAAAACAAAACAACAGCTTTCTCTTAATATGACAACTACATTTCCTTAGTTCTTCTCGTCTTTGCTATTACACCCATTTATACACCTACTAGATTGTTTGCAGTCTGCAATTGCTGAATTGAGAGAAAAGGAAGTGGAACTGCGACGTGAAAGTCGACGAAGTGGAAGAAAAGGCACGAGTCTCTCGGTCGAACGTGCTCCATTAGAGCCTGCTCCAGAGCTTCCCAGTTTGAGCAGTATCTGATCAGAGTTCAGCTGTGTTCTCGGCAAGTTCGGTTCGGTTTCACACAGATACAGCGTGGGTTGCTTAAGGTGCAGCACTGATGCACAGGACCATGTGTTCAGCTTGTTCTGTTCAAAGGCTCCTCGTTTCTCACTGACGCTGGGACGTCAATATTATAATGTAACTGACAGTCAGTTGATAATTTACATATTTTTCTGATTCAATCTCGTTCTATGAGCTTATTATCAATTATTGTTTTTATTTACAATGAGCTACAGTCTAACTAGATTTTCTCGTTTGTTTATTTGGGTATTACTGTATTACGCATACATGAGTACAAAGTGTGTTCGTTCCGTTGCCTGCTTGCTTTAGGATTTGATTAATAACTCGATCCCGCCTAATACATATTTCCATTTGTGCGTGGGAGCTGATAGGCGGTGGTTTTTCTGAAATTCCAATTTCTGATCCTCCCAAATCTGCTCGCTGATTATTTGTGTAGATGGATGTCTAGTCATATTCATGCACTTCTGAAGTGCTCTCTGCCTTGTTCACCATTCACAACGCTCATCATTAAGCCTGTTTTTTTCTCGTCGTCCTATTCAATAGTCTGAATGTATGCTATTTATAATCTCAAATGTTCATTTGCTTTGTCGGTACATTCATGTGATGCTTTCTTTAAAAAGTTTCCGCTCTTTGTGTCTCCCATTCAGAGAATCTCTTCGATTCACTTCTACTTTGATTTTAATCAGTTCTTTGTATTAACGATTATACACGTTTATTATAAATTATTTATTTGTTCATCTATTTACACCGAATCGAAAAGAGTACCGATGTAGGCGAATGGCGCCTTTCAGAGGTATGGCCAGCAAACCCCATGAGGCAGAGAAATGTGGTACTACGGCATCGGCCAGTGCGACATTACGGGCTGCCGACCATCGAACAGTATCCACCAGTTGAATAGCCGCTGCTGCGCGGTTTGCTACGAAAAGGCGTCCTGAACTGTTGAAATCGACGGGACGTTTGAAATTGGGCAAGCAATGCTTCAGAAGAACGTCGCGCTTGCCCCTACTTCTCGTACTTGCAAACAAGATTGAGTCTATTATTTCCAAGATCACCTACATAGGCAACAGGTAACCCGATGTACTTTTCTGTGAAGACGAAATGTTAAAGGAGGAGGAGGCAAGACACCATCTAAACTGTCCTCATCTTCCTGGAACACTGGGGAGAAAGGCTAGGGTAGGAAAGCCTGTGGGCAAAAAGAGCCAGAGTAAACACTTGTTAGGAACTTATGAGAAATCAGGATTGTTTATAGGTGAAAAAATGCTCGGGTAATCTGCAGGAAATGATATTGGGTAGGGGTTCGAGAAAGTGAAAGCAGGTGTCTTGACCTTATGGCGGAGTACAGGTCTACAGCCTCCAGTCTTGGGTAGGGGTTCGAATGGAAGTTAAAGTAACAGTTCAAGATTAAGGAGCTAATGGTAATCGCATCAAGTACGCCACCCGAAGATGTTCTGAAATAGGCTAAACACGCACCTGCTTCGTCTCTTGCTAGAGCTCCCGGTCTCTCGCATACAGCGATGCGACGACGATCAACTACTTCAGAGTCACGCACCGAAAACATCAGCACGTAATGTTTATTCCCTGCAATCAGAAAAAGATCGCTGGAGATCTATCAATGTTTTGAAAGTACCGTATACTCTTGTGCTCATGGAGTAAAATACAGTAATGAACGAGTACATGAAAAAATGAAGGTGATGAAATGTTTCTTGTTGACCAGTCCTATGAGGAAAAATAAGTCTTCGGGCAGATTCTCTGAGGGAATCCAGCAAATCTTCTAATTCGGTTTCCGCCGATAACATTTGTAAGAAACTGATCTTGCTAGTTGAATAGCATTGTAGGTCTAATGCTATTCGACTAACTCAGTAAGATTGTTTATCGACCTTTCACGGCATTATAGCTTCGAGAGATATGATGATGAATGAATGGTTCGCACGTAGCCGTAGATCTCTGGGGACTCAACCTTTTAGAAGAGTCCGACGGCAGAAAGTTGGACGCCAGCCCTCTACCCGGCTTTTTCTTTCTAGAGTGAAAACTCACCCTCAAACTTTAACTTCCCCTTTTTTCAAACAAATTTGGAAGGGGCGTCTCGCAGATTCAAAGTTCCGCTTCTTTTAAAAGTCAAAATTCATTAATATTCCCACGGGGACGTGGTTCATGCTACCTTGGAAGAACATCATGACAAAAGGTGAATAGATTTTCAATTGATTCAGGTCGTCTGATTCTTTCTTCCAGATATGGGGAGAAATGGTGTAGGCACTCTCTAGCTTGGTTTGGTATGAGAGGTCTGAGCTTGTTTCGGTGCTCATTGAATAGTGGCCGATGCCATATAGGGTTGAGCGCATTTTTTGCTGTCTTCGAGCTATGTTCGCATCATTTGCCAATGCGATGGAAGGCCATGCCATCACTGAATTCTTATGCAGCTCACATAAAAAAGAATTATTGAGGTTCTTGACTCAATTTGTTGAAATTGGTCGTTACAATTAGAGGCCAGAAACGACGGCGTTAGGGTAGAGTCTCCTTCTCTAATAGCGTATATGAGAGCAAATCGACGATGGCATCGTTACAAACTAAGCATGTTACAGGATCACTCAATTAGAAAAGTCTTGAAGTTGAAAACTGAGGAGAAATGGCGTCTTGAGGCAGAGCTGTAGCAACGAAATCATGAAGGACGTAAAAGTAGCGAGCCCTCGTACGAGCGAAGCTCTGAGGCCGAATTGATACTGGAGAGAACGGAATAGTTTTAGGTTTGTATGGTACCGCTTACCTTCTACTACAAGTATTTGTGTGATGGGGCCAACGACGGCGAACGCTAGCATATCGGTATAGCTTTCAGAAAGACGATACTGTAACTCGGTCCACTGCCCAACTGGAGTGAGCTCGTACAGTGAAGAAAATATCTGAGAATATGCTTTTCGCTGTCTATACACATGACTAAATAAGATGAAGTACATAAATTGGGTAAATTATAAAAGAATGGTTAAATTTATAGCGCAAGATAACCCCTGACTTTGTTCTGTAGCCGTTGAAAAGGATAGGGCTGCTCGGTCGTGATCTTAAGGAATTTCAGGGTCGGAGTGAGAAGCAAATAAGGTAATAGTAATTACTCACCTCTCCACATACACAAAGGTAGATATAGTCTGTATGAGCGATGCTAAGGCGTTCGCTGATCACCGTCTCGTTCCTCATCCATTTTGGACCTGAGGATTATCGATCATATCTGTGGTAGTGGGTCTTTTTTAATAAGTATGTAGGTAAAGGGCGGATTTGGTGTAGTTGCAAATGGCGCACTATCACATACGCATGGTCACAGGTTCGAGTTCCGGAGCGATATCCGCTTAGGCCAGCCACGCTTCCCTTCCCTCTGGTGGTCGATTAAATTGGTTAATTGGTACCGGACTCGTGTAGGAGGAGAGAAGCTCTGACTTGAGCATTGGTCGGCCACCGCATGTCATTGTGTAGGCCACATACACATTCAAAACGCTACTACTATACTGGATGAAAATCGAATGTGGGGCGTAAACCAAGACAGGATTGATCAACGCCTGAATATATCCTCTATCCTTTATGTAGGTAGGAAAAAGAAGAATGATATTAATTAAAAAATTGAGGGTTCAAATCAAATATTGGAGATCAGGAAAAGGGCGCTCCCCACGTGCAAAGCCTACAAAAATGTGTGAACAGAAGATTGCGTTATTTCTATACTGCCCATTTGTAATGTCTTGAGGCGTTAATCATCCCGTATGATGGATACGCCCACGCATTCGACTCTCATCCAAAATCGCAGTAGTGGTGGCTTATTGAATGCGTATGTGGCCTATACAATGACTCGCGTACAAGTACAAGTCAGTGTTCTTATCCTCCCAGACGAGCCTGCACCAATTAACCGACTACGGAGGGGTGGGGAAGGCTTGGTTGGCTCACGCGAGTATTGATACGGAATTTGAACCCCTGAACGCGCGTGTGAGATAGTGCGCAACTTGCCACTACACCACCCCCGCCTTTTCATTCCCATTCATAGTACTAATAAATTCAGAAAGTGTAAAGTAGCAGTGGTGAGGAATATAAGATTAATAAAACATTCACCCAACAAACAGAACTATTTGCAAACCTTCGATTTTAGCTACGTATTGAAGATCGATGGTGAATTTGAAAATATATCGACACCAATTATGTTCTCCTTCCTCAATATCGAGAAGCATCTGAAAAAATCGTTATACGTCCAGTTTGATAATACACCCAATATATTCGGAGCCCAAGCGGCGGAATACTCTGCAACGCCAACGAAGTGATAATATATCTTTCGCAAGGATGAAAGCATATTAAATCGAGAAAAAAAAAGAAAACAAGGCTAGCAGCGACGACCATATCATGAGGGAGTGTAAAGAACTGGCAAAGTTGTGTTCTAGAAAGGAGAAAGTTGAAGTCGTTCTTGCCTGACAGAAGAAATTAGGTTTTGTAATATTTCTGAAAGGCTATTTAGAGTTTATTCACCCACTTATGTATATGGAGTGCTGGATTTGGAAAGTGCTTGAGTGCATGGGGTAAGCGCTTTTGACTATATGTAGGTGTATCCTATCAGGTTGTCGAAAAGTTCGATCACTTACCAGCACGTGCTCCTTGTAGTAAATTGGACTTCGTGGTTT